CCCCAAAACCCCAAAACCCCAAAACCCCAAAAGGTTCAAGATATATTGAATAATTAATGGCTGTCAAGTATTTTGCCAACCACAATGAAAAGTGTACGTACTGACTTTTCCTGTTGCTGGTACTCAAAGATATCCTGTCTGGGCCTCAAATATCTGGCCTATTAGGATTCTCTTGGTGTTCCGACCAGCTAATCACATTAATGTTGGCAAGTTGCCTGCTAATGTCAAAGGTATTCAGACTCGGAGTTGCAATCAGGTTCAACTTTGTGTTATTTTATTTGTTATGCGGCATCATTATGGGCTTAGCTCCACTCCTGACTGTCAATGAAAGCACTGGAAGGCTTGTGATGAAGCTGGTTGGCTTGTTTCTAATGATAGTATTACCATTCACTGCAAAGTTTTGCACTGCTGAAACTCCAGGGCCTTACTGAGTTGGTGTGAAAGATCTTATCATTAAAGGAAAGACTACCCCATCTGTGATGATATTCTACCCAATGGATAAGAAGGAGTACGATCAGAAGATAACATCAGATAGCAATAAATATCCTGTCATCATTGATGGAGATAAAAGCAACCCCTCAAGAGTTGCTGGGCTCGGGCTAACTCATGATATATCCAGTGCCTCAAAGATTGCCCTTTCTTTTGTTCCTTCTAATTTTTGGGTTGCAGAGAGATTGATGGATGATGAGCAAGTATTCAATATTGAAGCAGTTGTTGGTGGCAACTTACATAAAGACTTTACCAGTAGAACCAAAAAGTTAACACCAGTAATTTATGGAGGAGGTTTGGCTGCATCAAGAATACAACCAACAATTCTCTTTAGATATCTCGCAAGCTATGGATGAATAGTTTACACCATCAGTCACACTGATGGATCTAGTTGCTGCTACAAAGATTTGCATAAAGACCCTAATAAATTCGTACAGTACAACCACTTCTCAATGCAAACTCACACTGACTCTTTCGGAAAGAAATACACTCACGAAGAATTCAGAAGAATCAGTGTTGCAAACAGAGTCAAAGACATCGAGACTGTCATTGAATACATCAAAACTGAGTCCATGCAAGAATTCCAGAGTATTGACATGTCTAAGCTGACTGTGATTGGTCACTCTCTAGGAGGAATGACAATGATCGACAGCAGCCATAAACTTCCAGACACCATCAAAGCTTGTGTGGCGTTTGATCCTCACTTGCTAGCTAGAAGACAAGAAATTCTAGAAGGGTCACAGTTTTATCTGAAACAGCCAACTTTGGTCATCAACTCAGAACTGTTCAAAGACAGTCCATTCCTGGCAGACTTTGACTCGAAAGCTTGAATGGATAAATTCAAAACATTATGTGACTCTTCAAAGGATACTGACTCCAACAATAAGAAGCAGAACTTCTGGGTGAACTTGGAAGATTCAGGTCATCTGTCATTCTTGGATGTTTCTCAGTTTAGTCCAGGCCCTTTAGCCATGACAAAGACCATCGGGTCTCCTGACAATGCAAGCTATGTTATGAACAAGAACCACAGCATCGGTAAGATCATGCTTCAAATGTATAGTGCTTGACTTCATGAGCAGGAACAACTTATTGCCAGTAGAATTCGACAATCCTTTCAAAATAGAGCTTCCGACTTCAAGCTCTCAGGAATAATATTCCAGATGGCTAGTGGCTTGCATAATATCCAGATTCAACAAAAGGTTCAAGATATGGGGTTTTGGGGTTTTGGGGTTTTGGGGTTTTGGGG